GGCAACAATATTAAAACCCACAAATATTATCTTCTATTGGTAGTAAATCTAAATTCTGAGGTGTGTCTCATTTATCTAGAAACAAACATTGTCCTTCTGTCTAATTGTCCAATACTAGAGTATTACAATACTAAAGTATTTCTCCCCCCCCCTCCAGCCAAACATTCCCACTTTTCTGTGGGGTTCTAAGCCAATAAAACAGCTCCTCTTTCCTTTCCATATTTGGGGGGGTGGCTCTTAAGAAGCGTGGGAAACCTGACTGCTCCTCCTCTAATTCAAATATTTTTGCAGGTTGCAAAGTTTGAGATGAGCTATTCATGCAAGCAGTACACAGGGCAATATATATGGTAATCAATAGATAATTAGTTATTAAGAGTGGGTTCTGTGTAATAGAGGAATAATGCGTAGAGTGTTGCAACACCTTTTAACGTCCATAAAGACTCTGTCAACCCCCTCCTCTATTTCAAAATCTTCCTTTGATCGTTGGATCTTATTTTAATTTTTTCCCCCTTAAAATAAATTAATGGGCTTCTGACGGTTCATGTACAAAATGGGTGAAATACGAACCTTTTGAGGGTTCTTTTCAATCAGTTGAATGGGTGATCTTTCTTTGATCTTGCCAATAATGAAAGTGCCGCTGAGGGAATGCTGGGGAGGGGGAAATGAGGAGGGGGGAAAACCCCCTCAGCTTTCCTGTTTAGATATTGCTGGTGGGCAGTCGAGTATTTTCCTCCAAGCCAAGACTAAAACACGTCAATTAAAAATAATAAAACAGGCAAGGGTGTGAAAGTCCCTTTACCCCCAAATCTTTCTGTTTTCTTGCTTTGTCTAAGGCAGGTCTGTACATATTTGGATTTGGGGGGGGTGGCTCTTGCAGTTGTGCTGGTAAAAAAATAAAAAGTGGTGTTTTGGGATGTTGCTTTTCCCTTGAAAACAATGAAAACAGGCCAAGATGGGCCCTGTTTTCTCTAGGGGAATTGTGGTGGTGGGTTTAGCAATGTGACCTTGCCTGACAGTGGGCTGAGGTCAGCTGTTTCAGGAATGGAAACTCCATCTCCAACAATCTGCAGGGGTGAAAGGTCACTGGACCTCCCATTCGAGGTGGGGGAGAGGTCGTGGCTCCCTGGCTGTAGTTCAGAGATTGAGGACAGGGCTGCAGAAGGCGGGTGTGGGAACCGCAGAAGTCCTTCCCAAAGTCAAAGAGGGAGATCCCGGACAAAGATCAATGAACCGCAGCACAAAAGTTCAAATGTGAGCATGAGATGGTGGTGGAAGGTTAATGGAGAAAAAATAAATTGGAATGGAGAAATGTCAATTCGGAGGGAGAGAGAGGGAGGGAGGAATGAAGGAAGGGGGTGGGAAAAAGGAAGGAATGGAAGACGGCGGGAGGAAGAATGGAAGGAAGGAAATGAAGAAGGAGGGAAGGGAAGGAAGAGGGAATGGGAAACCATAACAGAAATGAGGAAGGGAGGAAGCAGTGAAGGAAATTGAGGGGAAGGAAATGAGGGAGGAAGGAAAGAAGAAAGGGAGGGAAGGAAGGAGAGGAAAAGAGGGAAGGAAGGAAATGGGAGGGGGAAGGAAGAAAGAAAAGTATAAAAGAAGGAAATGAAGGAGAGGAAAAGAAGGAAATAAGGGAGCGGAAAGGAAGGAAGGAAGGAAGGAAATAAGTGTGGAACGAGGGAAGAAAATGGAGGGTAAGGAAAAAGGAAGGGAGGAAGCAAGGAAGGAAATGATGGAGGGGAAAGAAAGTAGGAATGGAGGAGGGAGGGGGCAAGGAAGAAGAATGATTGCTTGTAGCTTTTTTCTTTTTGAAGACATTCTCAAATCACTTTTTGAGACTGGGTGGTGATGGGGGTTAAAAAACAGGGGAGACTGCAGATCAAGGAGGAAGTTGATAAGAAAGGGAGCCCGTTGCGTCTTATAGCTGAGACCAGATTTGGTATCAAGCTGTTAGACTTCCTTAGAAGTATTAATTACAGTGGCCCTTAATCTTAATTTGCATAATCTTAATTAATTAATTAATCTTAATCTTAATTTGCATAAGCGCACCAACATGCCTACCGTCCCTGTCCTTACAATAAAGACAGTATAACTATGTATAAGTATATACATAGTTATGAATACATGAAATGAATACCCATTTCAGGTATTCATAACTATGTATATACTTATACCTATTACCTTGTAAGCGATTGACAAATCAAAATAAATAAAATAAAATAAATAAAATCAAGGAAGTGTGACATCACCATTACAAATATTGGTTGCCTTTACAAATAACAGCTGTTTTAGCCTATTGCTTTGCATAACTGCAGTTGTTGTCCAAGGAAAACGGCCACCGTCCTTCTTTCCTGTCTCAGATATTCCTTTGCCTTACGTAAAATGTGATTCTCTAGCCTTTATTTCTAGAAGTAGAGAATGTAATACAGGTAGTCCCTGGCTTGCAACCATTTCAGCGACCATTCGAAATTACGGACGGCCCTGAACGAAAGGACGGGACAAGCTAGTAAGTAAGTAAACCACAAGCTAGTTAAATAAGTAAAACCACATTGTTGTAAGGTTGACTGGTTTCCTCTTGAGGTCTTCCCCTGGGATTTAGGAGGGAAAAAACTTCAGATGGCTGGACAGCTGTTTCTACTGTGAAAGAGGGGGCATTTCTGTGCACTTGAGGGCCATCTGCTAACCCCTGGAAACCTCTTCAACTTCCAAAACCAAACAATTAAAATAAGGGGGGGGGGGGGGGAAACACATTAAAACCAATGCTTTCCCAATCAAGTGGAACAGATTAAGAAAACGCAGATGGCATTTTCCTCTGAAAACTAGCCACTCTGTGTGTATTTCATCCCAACCTTTCTCTTTATCAGATGTTTGGTTGGATATATCATCTGGGAAAGCACGGTTGATATTATAGAAAGTTTTTCAGTCAATGCCCAAATTCTCGCACTTTTCCTAGATAATGATATTTAATCTTTTCCAGCTTTCTTTCTTCATTCGCTGGATCAGCCGGACAAAATGTTCAAATCTGTGACAAGGGAAAAGGGAAGTGGGCTCCTTTTTTGGCATCGGGGATGTGTGTGTGAGAGAGACTCTCTTAACACAGACTCCACAACCAAAAAGTGTGGCTTGTCTGGACACACACACACACACACCATTTATTTTTGCAAAAGGGAGTGGGGGGAACAGTACAATTTGATAAGTTTGTGTTTTAAAAAAATAAGCTTTCCTTGCCAGAGGTTACAGTTATGAACATTGAACATCATTAAAAAATAAAAAGAAAGGGAGTGCAACAGTGATTTTTATTTTAGAGACTTGCGACAAAGAGCTAGTTAAATGCAAATTGAATAAGAACCTAAACCCAAGCAAGATGACATATTTATCTTATTTCTGCAGTAAAAAGTAGCATGCATTTTTTTAGGGGGGGGGGGGAGAGGCAAGATATCCTTTTTCCTTCATAGATATCAATAAGATAACTTTCTTGCAAATCCAAATAAAACTTGGAAACTGAAATAGAAATTTCCCAATTCTGTTTTATTGCAATTTCATTAAGGAGGGTTGATTGTGAATCATTTGAAATGCTTCTTTCTAGCTTTCTGCCCACCTGGGCCGAGCTTATGATCTCAACTTCAAAAGTTGTAGGTGCTCCAGCATGGGAGGTTTTTGAGAAGAGACTGGACAACCATTGGTCTGAAATGGTGTAGGGTTCCATGTTTGAGTAGGGGGTTGGACTAGAAGACCTCTGAGGTCCCTCCAACTCTGTAATTCTCTTAAGCTACATTCTGATTCTCCTTCTGTCTTTTGACAATTTATTATCTGTTCTTTCTTCCATTCCTTTTCCAGACATCCCACATTGTGTCTTAGCTCCCTGGGCTAAGATAGACAATGCTGATCTTCCAGGCTCATCTTCCAATGTGTTTGATTTTAACTCCCATGATTCTCACCTTCCTGACCGAAGGATGATGGCTGCTGAAATCCAACACACCGAGGAGTGAAAAAAAAAAGCTGCTATAAAGGTTAAAATTGCACAACCAAACCTCATGGTACCTTCTATTTGCTGATGGTTGATGGTAACTATGTGCTATCAAATCAGCATCAACTCCTAGCAGCTACTAGATAGATTTTCTCCTAACCTGGTCCTTCAGGTCTTCTGAAACAAATTATACTCAGTAGCATAATAGCTTTTCTTCCCTTACTAGTAATGTCCTCATTTGCATCCTAATTTGGATATAATTTATTGTATCAAACTGCCCTTATAGGCTAAATTAGCTAGACAAATAAGATCATGAAGATGAGGTTTTGTTTTTTTTCTGCAGGGCTTCCAAATCCATTTTCCCCCCCTTCGATGAAAATACCTTCTTTACATTTTTGCTAATTAACTTGCTGCAATGGCTGGTAGCTGTTGGTCCACTTGTCCATCTCTGTCCATAGACTTATTTTCCGACCTAGGAAACCAGAGACAGTAATTCTCAAGAGAGAAGGTTCATCAAACGGGAAGGAATTTGGGGTAGGTTATCCAGACCTACCATTCTTTCTGTAAGTAATTCACCTTTATTGGTTTGATACTGAAATCTATTCCCTGGCCTCTTGATTTGTCCAGCATATTTGCATTCTTACTCATTGATCTATTAGTATTATTTCTACCTGACTTCATTCAAGCTGGTTCTGAGCAGCATGTTACTTTTAGTAGGAAAGGAAAAGCAACAAGGATGAATCACAGAGTTGTGATAGTGACAATATCCCTCCCAGTGAGAATAATTGCTGAGCCCAGCTTTCACAGGCAGAGAAAACCCTTCTTTCCTCAGTTTGCAATCACAGTTTAATGTATTTGAATGCTGCCTTTAATTCAGGCTTGTCTGGGGAAATACCCTTTTTTTTGCCTTGATTCATTTTCAGCAAACTATTCACAGCCAGAGAGAACAGCCTGAATTTACAATGACATTTTCTAAAGAAAAAAAATGTTCCAGAGGAACATTTAATGGTCCTATCTGAACCAGATGCTTCACTGAAAGGGTATATATTTGAAAGTGTGTGGGGGATAGGAAGTAAATGATGCATTTTAGACTTCCCTGGCCTATACTACTGAAGTCTCATTATCATGACCTTTAACTGGGCAAAACATTGCATCATAGGGCAATAGTTTTTGAACCAAAGCACTTTAAATGGGCTAACATACAGAATGCATCTAAAATGCAGGGAAAGTTGTAGCTACTTATGCTACCGGTTGCTGTTGTGGTCACGTGATCTTTATTTTCAACCTTCTGTGACAGTTTCCCAGCCGCTCTCTCAATCCCTTGCTCCCTCTCCTACCCAGCATCAGATACTTACCTGTTTGCTGGGAGGGGAAGGGAAAAAGGAATATGGGAAATAAAAGAGCCCTTTTTATTACCCTAAACCAGGCACTCAATGGGGATTTGGGTCCATTCCTTTCTCTACCTAGTCTTAACAAGTTAATGAGCACATGAAGAATTATATGCATTTCATTCAGAAAGACGTTTTAAGTATTTAATCCTGCCCTTTCAAGAGATGTGAAGAAACTTAGATGTCCTTGCATAGATGAGTATCTTCCAAAAGTTTCGGCTGTGATGATTTCAGCAGAACAGCCTTTCCTAATCTAGCGCTTTCCAAATAGGTTGGACTTAAATTTCCATTTTTTTTAAATGCCCTAAGAGCTGAAGGACATCTGAAAGAGTCCCAAGTTGGGAGGGGCGGGAAAAGAGAAGCAAATGCATAACCATTAAGGGAAAAAAAATCTATAGACTTTCTTGTCAAAAATGTTAACCTTGCTTGGGGCAGCTGACTTTTCAAATGCATTTTATTCACACAGCTCTCAAACTTTTAAAGAAATAACCTTCCCTGTTGGGGAATTGCTATTATTAAGATGTCAAGAAGAGTTAAAAAAAACGTAGGGGTGGATATTATTTCGGAGAGGATGTTTCTGTAACACAGTTGAGAAGCTGCCAACTTCATTCTAGGGTGTAAAACTGCCAAGATTTTGACTCCATAGCAGAATAGTTCCACAGTATCTGTCGTAACTGCGAGAACTAGTTGTAAGTCACTTTCAGTGGTCATCTGGGTAGCCCCACTTATTAAAGGAAGGCCTCGACTTACAACCCCACATTTAGTGACCATTAAAAGTTACAGTGGGGTTGAAAGAAGTGTCTTATAACCAGTCCTCGTGCTTACGATGGTTGCAGCCCCCTGACAATTCCCATAATCAAAATTTGGGCACTTAGGAACTGGCAGGCATTTACAATGATTGCCGTGCCCCAGGGTCATGTGATTGCTATTTGGGGGAAGCTGAATTTGCTTAATGACTGCATGGTCCATTTTATGACTGCAGCGCTTCGCTTAATAACTGCTCGACAAAAAAGGATTGTAAAATTGGGCATAACTCACTTAAGGACTGCCTCAGTTAGTGTAGGAAATTGAAATCCATATCAAGTGGCCAAGGTTGGGAAAAAAACAACACTATGCTGGTCCTTTATAAAGAGTTATCTCTGCCAGCTACCTTTTGCGTGGGGCATTTCCCACACATTTGCTGCCTTTGGACCTCAGCAAACTCTGCTGCATTTTCAGCAAAATGGGCCAGAAAGCATGCAGCCTGTAGCCTTTAATTTAGGTACCTGCGCATTTATGTGCGAGGAGACATATGGCTCCAATAATTGGCTGAATGGAGTCAGAAGTCGCCCTGGAATGAGATGAGAATGCTCTTTCTTCTAGCAGGATGGTCCTCCTGAGAGAGATCTGGCCAAAGTATGATGGGAAAAATGCTCCATTCAGCTGAATTCATGTTGTGCGCTAGTTATGACTTCCCTACATGAATCCTGAATGATATTTACAAAGAGGAGGAGGAGGAGAGAGAGAGAGAAAAACACCTCTTGCCTTTACAGGTAGTCCTTAACTTACGACCATAATTTTGTGACTGGAACGTCCCTTGCTAAGTGATGTAGTCATTAACTGAGTCAGCAGTTGACTGCACCCAATTTTATGACCCTTTTTGCTGTGATCATTAAACAAATCCAGCTTCCCCACCCCCAATTGATTTCGCTTGTCAGAAGCCCATGAGAAGGTAGCAATTAGAGTTACTTATGAAAAATAATAAAGGCAGGATATAAATAAATTAAAGAAAAAAGAATATAAGAAGACTGGTGTTTAAGGTGGGACAAATAGACTGCTGATTGGAACCCCCCACCCCCCACCCCCCAAAAAATTGTCAGCCTGGATGGTCCTTCCAGAGGGAATTTTATTTTGTCCTGCTTTATTAACTAAACAATATGGGAGTCTAAATGATGTATTCTTCCATTTACAATTGAAGAATTGAAAAGGCTCCATATGGAAAAGCAAAAAAATATATCAGTGAATTAGCTCCTCCCTGTTTTAGGGTTGTTTCTGGTCTTAAAAACAGGCTTATAACTTTAGAACAAAGTGCAAACATAGGAAATAAGGAAGGAGAAAGAAAGCTTAGTGAAAAGGCTTAAGGATGTAAAGCAAAAGAGTTAGAGATACCTAGGAAGGACTAAAGAAATCAGGGCACCACAGAGGCACCTGGGCAAAAATCACTGAATCTTCTAGAATTTCCTAACGTCTTCCTCTGTTTTTTATTCACAGTGATGACAGGACAATTCTTGGAATTTTCCAGTTGCCTCAAGATACTTCTGTGGTCCCTGAAATAGAATATACCCAACAGAGTAGGAAGCTAACTCCTAAAATATAATGGTAGGGGAGGGTGGCTTTTAAAATTCTTTCCTGGAATGTGAAAACTGAAGGCACCCAAGTCATCTTTTTATGGGTTTTGGCTTCTTCCCCTCTTGAAGTATTTCAGGAATCTGTTGGCTTCCTTCTGGGCCTCTTGAGGAGCATGTGGTCTTGCAAAAGGCTTCCTGATTCCCCTTGCCACCCTCTTTTAAAAGACAAACACAACAACTTGTCTCCTTTGTTTTGTTGTTAGCTGAAGGTTAATTTCACTTCAAAGCAAGGGGGGGGGAGGGAAGGAAGCTTGAGAATAGCTTTCGTAGGAAATGAGCTTGGATAAGAGAAGGCAGTCTTCGCCTCTGTATGTTATTAGATGATTCCTAAAAAGTTCAAATGGTTTCGATTATGGAAACATTAAGAGAGAGAGAGAGAGCATAGTTTTTATGGCTCTGTTGTTTTTTTTTAAAAGGAACCCATTTAAGGTCACTCACTCCCACCAATATGTATGGCTGAAAAAGAGAAAATGGTTTGTAAACAGCATTCCAAAACTCCCTTGGCCTTATGTTTTCCACTGTTTTTTTGGCAGGAATCATGGAAAGAAATTTGCTTTCCTCTCCAGTTTGGACTTGAGGAGGGAGAGCACAGGATATGATTTACCTCCTTGAGTTTTCTGCTAAGTTTTGGAAGGAAGAGCATCTAGGTAGCTTGATATTTAAATAGTGATAGAATCTTCTTTGAATTTTTAAACACTGTGATAGAAGTAGGGGCAAAGTATTCATTTCACCTGTCCACCACACACTTAATTTTCCACTGTATCTTGTGACAGGTTTATATTATCTGCCATTGTTTTATTTGAAGTGAGAGGCTAGAAATAGGGGAAAACCCCAACTACTGAAATAACTCTTTTAAGAGTTAAATTTTCATTGACCTTTATTCAAAAGCTCTAGTTGTCATGACCCTTAAGTGGGTGAAATGGTGCATCATAGAGCAACCATTTTTGATATAAAGTACCTCAAATGAGCTAACTTACAGAATATGTTCAAAATTCAGAATCCACGACTCCCAAGGGAGTGAAATTTGAGAAAGTTGTGGCTCGTAATGTGCTACTTACTGCTGCTGTGTCATTGGCTTGCTACTGCAGCCACATGCTCTTCCTTTTCAACGTTCCATGACAGTTTCCCAGGCAGTCACGTAGTCCCTTGCTCCCTGCCCTGCCCAGTATCAGCTACTTACCAGCCTGCTGGAAAGGGAAAGGAAGGGGAGATTTCCAGTGCTCCCTTCTAGATTCCCACTCATTGGAGATAGGAAGTTGGAAGTCACTCTTGCTCTTACTGCTTTTTTGCCCACCATTCTGTTTCTACTATGAGTGTCTGGTTCTTCTCATTAAGGCTATAGATTCCAGAAGAAAGGCTGGGCATCTTTTGGCAATAAAGAAGAGACTGGACAGTCATTTACCTGGAATGGTGTAAGGTTTTCTGCTTGATCAGGGAGTTGGCCTAGAAGACTTCCCAGGTCCTTTCCAACCCTATTGTTCTATATTATATGATAGATTGTGGAGGAAAATGGGTGTTTGCAATTTCTTTCCAAGGAGGAAGAGATTTTGGCAAATCCTGATGAATGAAATATGGTGGTGCCTTGGCCAGTGGTCTGTCTTTGTACCTGCTCCTATTAGCGGTTAGCCCTCTTTCAAATTCCAACTGTATTCCAAAATAACCCCAAGGAAAAATGAGGAAGGAATACCTAAACATACTGGGCATAAAATATAAAAACAATAAGTTTATTAGGAAGGGAGAGATGGGAAGCTTCTCCAAAAAAGCAAGCCAGGTTCCAGGATAATGACTGAATGAGTACTGAAATACTGTGTCCTGTCTGCAAAAATGGAATTGTTTTTTCAGCAGGGTATAATAGTTACAGGAATAGATTAGAACTTGGCTAGGGGAACCAGGGTGCTCAAGGTAGCTATGAAAATATCTGTTTATCATTTGTGAATTCTTGGATGTTATTCTTAAACAGGTTGTCAGGTGTTTGCAGGAGAGTGTTGCCCTGGACAGTGTTTTTCAACTTTGTCAGAGGTGTGGACTTCGAATCCCAGAATCCCTCAGCCTGCATGCTAGCTGAGGAATTCTGGGAGTTGAAATCCATGCAGTTTAAGTAGTTGTCAGGGTTGAAAAATACATTGTCAGAGCCATCAGGAAGTAATCAAACAAATCAGTGCTTTTCATTCAAGGCAGACAATTTATTAGTTAACGTGTTACTTCTGTAAGTTTTTTCAACCCAGTGGTTTTACTAGGAATCTGTGGGACAATGTAATTCTGCCTACCCCTTCCTCCTTGAAAATAGTACATTGCTATAAAGTGCTCCTTTATACCTTTAACTCCCGAGCTACATTTGCTGACTGGGGTAGAGGGGGGGGAGGGAGGAAGAGAGGAGGGAGGGGAATAAGGAAAATAGAATGGGAAAGAGGAGGGAGAGACAAGGAAGAAGGAAGGAACAAGAGAGAGGATGGGTTGGTGGAAGGAAGGAAAAGGAGGGTGGGAAAGGGAGGAAGGAGGGAGCAAGAAAGGAAGGAAGGAAGGAAGGCAGGCAAATTTTAGATTTCGCTGCGCATTCTGTAAAACTTGCTCCATGGAATTGCCCCATCTTTGAAAGTTTTATCAAATCCTTCTGTTGCAAATCTCCTATGTTTACATGCCTATCTGATCACTAAATTGGGAATCTGTGGGAGTTCCTTTAATCTTTCTGCAAAGCTGAAGTTGCAGTGTTGTGTTGAGAAACAAAGTTATTTGAAAACAATTCCTTTGATTTCTGAAGCATTTTCCAGGCATCAAAGTTACAAAGCCTTACAGAATGTAACAGTTGTGTTCAGTTTATATTTTCCTTGCTTTAAAAATTGTTCCTTTTCATCCATGAAAAGGAAGGAGATTTCCTCCTCCAGAATGCTATAAACTCTCCTTATAGTCATGATTGTCTCCTACCAGATTAAGTTGGTCATAATGTATCTTTCTAAAACTTTTCTCTCTCTGGTATTTTAAACCATGCATTTTATTATCAGGTTAAAACAAGAAATGTAATAAGAGTTTTATCATTTTTGAATATTTTTAGTTTCTAATTGAATTAAGGTGACTATATAGTATGCAATAATAATGAGAGAAAGCCTGATATAAATTATTATTACGTGTAGAAGCTGAAGTTTGAAAACAGCTGTGATTAATTCTTCTTGCCATATATGTACATTTTTGACACCAAGATGAAGCTTCTTGTTATAATGATCATTTCTTGACTTTTTTTTTCATTGCAGAAGATCTCTTCTCTTTACACATGCCCAAATTCTACATAACGCGGACAAATATCTGTCTGCATAATAATTCTGTTCATGTTTCACCACAGATTGCAGGAGGCAAAAAAAATATAGTTTGATATGGTCAACTTTTGCATTAAACAATTTCATTAATCTTCAAAACTATTGACACAATTTTAAAACTGCAATTATTTCCTTGGCTGTTCCTGTACAGTTGCAAATTGTTAACAATACAGCAAATCCTGCTACCAATATACTTACTGATCAATCAGTAAAATATGAAATTGTCTTTGTTTTAAAACTGCTTAACTAGTCCAACTTAAAATAAGTAGTATAGAATATATTTCATTATTATGATTATTATATGTATTTACTAATTGCAGGAAAATAAACTTCGGTCACGATTCTTTAGCCTAAAATAATCTGAACAGTGTAATTTAAAGATATGTCCCTGTGTTAGATCAGTGGATGTAAAAATGAGCACCCAATATGAGCCTTTTGTTAAATAACTAGCATTAGGAATGCCAGCAAATTGGGAGATCTGATAGACCCAAGAAAGATCAATATTCTATTTCTTAGTCATTTGGATTGTGCTTTGGAAATCTAAGGAAATTGAGCAGAATTGCTTTGGATGAGATGAAGAGGGCCTTAAAATATATAAAACCACAGAAAGCAAACATAGAAATGCAAACTAATTTCTTGTTTAGCTTTATATGAGTTTGTCGCCTCTCTTCATCCGAGAAACTTTAGGACATTGTGGGGACATTATTGCCAGTTGAGGCTTATGTAATCTTCATTTCCCAACCAATTGGCAAAAATTGTTGTATAAATGTGGAAATGGCAACATTCTTGTTCTTGAGAAATAAGTTGCCCCCAAAAATGAAAAAACAGAGGCAAGGAACACAAAGTTGCAAATGATGAGAAATGAATTTTCAGGCTTCATTCTACTCTAGGGAAAACCTCTCCCTTATCCACTTCACGTTTTTATTTACACCCCTGTGGTTTTCCCTTCTAAAGAAAGTTTTGAGTTGTGGTCCCTGACCACCAAAACCTTGTCCCCTTCCTCTGGCACCAATCCAAGACAGAAGTATTGGGTTTTGTGCAAGCAACATCACCAGTCCTTTCCTTTGGTTTTCCAGACTTAATTAACCCTTAAATTTGTCAACTCTTTGATGCTCTGTGTCCTTTGCCTGTTATGAAGGCCATCACAACTTTGAAAAATTGGTTATAAGTAGCTCTGGGGAGATCTGTTGTAACTTCAGATGTGTCATGAAGTGAGGACTGTCTGTATGTGCAGACTCTGTGAATGGACAATCTAGTCTTTTACAGGTTTCAAGCATGGTCATCCAATGGTAACCTTGATAGCGGTAGTGAGTATGCTGCTGGTTTAGCTTTATCTAGAAGGTCTTAAGTTGTCTACCTTTTGAGAGGTCCTCGGTGCTCTCTGAGCGTGGTTCTTTTCTTGCAGACATTTCATTACCAAACTAGGCAACATCTTCAATGCTAGTGGGGAGTGGAGTTTGGTCTCATTTTATATTCTGTTTATATCTTTATGGGAATATAAGAAATATGGACAGTAACCTTCCTCAGTCTGGTGTCTTTCAGATGTTCTGGATCACAAGTCTTATCATCCCTGGTCACCATGATCAATGACCAGCCTTCGTTATTTTTCTTTCCTACAATATAATCATTAGTGTTGGATTCTTTTACCTCTTCCTCCAGGATCTGGCCAGGGAGAGGCTGAGACAAGAGAATGCACTTATTACAATGCCAACTGGGAACTGGAGAAGACTAACCAGAGTGGAGTGGAACGCTGCGAAGGTGAAAAAGACAAGCGCCTGCATTGCTATGCCTCCTGGAGAAACAACTCTGGATCCATCGAACTGGTGAAGAAAGGATGTTGGCTTGATGACTTCAATTGTTATGACAGGTAAGAGCGATGAGGTAGGAATTCCTCATGAAATAGAGACATTGTCCTGAATTCTTGTTTAATAGTTCTATATCACAGGGATGGTCACAGATTGGCTGTCAGCAGTGGAATCTTGGCTCCGTGGTTCATAGTCTTAATGTAAACAAATGTCAGGCACAAATAACCAGGAGCATTCTTTGAGTTCAAAACACCTCTCTGCCTTCACCCGCCTTAAGAAAGTCTTCCACGCCAAAAGGGGCTATTTTCACAGAGCCACTTTGAGGAGTGGGAAGGCTGGCGGTCATGCTGACTTCAATTTAAGGTCTCTACATTAGGTCAACCATCTCCTGCTTCCCCCCGCCCCCCCCCCATGTAATTGTAGAATCCAGGAAAGTTTAAAAAAAAAATCTCCCAGGTGTTTTCGCACAATGAAAGCCCAGTTCCTTTTCCAGCCAGCTCAAAAGAATATCCTGTACGTGGCAAACCATGTGCTCTTGTTTGCTTGTTTTCTGTAGAAAAGGAGAAAATTAATCATTTGGAGCGGCAATCTGGAGAAAAACAAGTTGGGGTTGAGGGTGGAATGACTGGAACCTGTTTTTGAGCTACTGTTGCCCGTTAATTGCCCATTTTTCAGGATGGCCACACAAGCACCCACCTTCCATTTTGCTGTTTTTTTTTTGTTTTTTTTTTGACGGCCTCAGCTAAACCACTCGGCTGCATTCCCTTTTAAATGCACTTAGTTGGGCTTTCCCCCCCCTCTTTGCTCCAGGAGTTTTATTAAATGTTTACAACCACATCAGTCATAGTAGTTGAAAGAAAAAAATTAGATTTATAACAAGCAGTGGGATGATGGTCATTGCTGAGAAAAAAACAAATATATTGTGGGTGGTCTGAGCCTGTTTTCAGCATTGCATTTTCCACGTGGGCTGATGGCAGAAATATTTCTTAGAACTGGTCATGATTCCTACAAGCACTCCAATCACCAGGAAATGAGTCAAGGAGCCTCTATTTGCATTAAAGGTAGTCCTTAGGATGGGTTGGTTAGGGACCACTTGATGCTACCATGGACCTCCAAAAAACTACCTCCAAAAAGCTAGGACCTGGTTTTGGAATTTGATCAGTCGCTAAGCACCCAAAGGGTGCTCGCAGGACTGTAGAGAGCAAGGGCTTAGCCATTTTAAGACTTGGGGACGTCAACTCCCAGAATCCTCCAGCCGTGGCAGCATCCCCTGGTCACATCTTCAGGCGCTTGGCAACTGACTCGTATTTATGACGGTTGCAGTGTCCCTTGGGGTCATGTGATCCCCCTTTGTGACCATCTGACAATGGGGAAGCCAGATTCACTGAACCACTGTGCTACTAATTTAACAACTGCAGTGATTCACTTAACAACTGGGGCAAGAAAAGCTCTAAAATGGGGCAAATTTCACTTAACATACATCTCACTTAACAACAGAAACCTTGGGCCCAATTGTAGTCATAAGTTGAGGACTACCTCTATGATTTGCTGGAAATATTATTTCCTCTCCTTTCTCCTGTGTTCAAAACCCAAAGGATAGGTTATTTGTGTGTTTGTTTACATTCTCTTAGAACACAAACATATAGTAGCTATATTTATTTATTAATTAAATTTATATTGGCCGCCCACATCAAGGAAAGTGTCTCTGGATAATATTTGCAATCCAATAATATTATATAGCTAGTCCTTGACTTACAACCAATCATTCAGCAGCTGTTTGAAGTTATGACAGTGCTGGTCCTCACACTTACAACTATTGTAGCATTCCTGCAGTGACAAGTTTCAGAATTCAAGCCTTTGGCAACTGGCATGATAGTTGCAATGGCCTGGAGTCATGTGATCACAATTCGTGGCCTTCCCAGCCAGATTCCAACAAGCACAAGTCAATAGGGGGAAACCAGATGTGTTTATCTGCCAGGTGCTTCACTTAACGACTGATTCACTTAACAATGGCAAAAAAGGTTGTAAAATCAGACCATTCACTTAACCATTTTGCTTAGCATTGGAGATCCCAGTCTCAATTATAGTTGTAAGGTGAGGACAACCTGTGACTATTATAACTATAGCTTTACTTCCTCTGATTTGACCTTTTGCAAGTTTATTTTAAGGTTTGGAGATCTCCCACCGGGAATTTTGTTCCTTTAACACCTCTTGTAAAATATGTTGCATCAGCAAAAGAGGAAAAATAAAAAGAATTTGCTTGCACGGTGAAGCAGGTTCGGTTGCATGGACAACACAGGAATTCACTGGCTTAGCTTGTTTTCTTTTGTGTTGTTTTAATCTACAGGCAGGAATGTGTGGCCACCGAAGAGAATCCACAAGTATATTTCTGTTGTTGCGAAGGGAATTTCTGCAATGAAAAATTCACTCACTTACCTGAAGTTAATGGCCCAGAAGGTGAGAATCAAGGGTATAAATATTTGAACCCAGTACAGTAAGCCCTTTTTCGTTTTGTTTTCTTTTTTTTACAAAATGTAGTTTTTTCCCAGGTCCTGCAAAAAGGAGGCTGGCTTTGAAAAGATATGGAGAACGGTTGCAGAAATTGGGTATGTCTGGTTTAATGAAAAGAAGGATTAGGGATGACATGAGAGCAGCCTTCCAATATCTGAGGGGCTGTCTCAAAGAAAAGCTATTCTTCAAAGCAGGACAAGAAGCAACGGATGGAAACTAATCAAGGAGAGAACCAACCTAGAACTAAGGAGAAATTTCCTGACAGTTAATCAGTGGAACGACTTGCCTCCATAAATTGTGGGTGCTTTATCACTAGAAGTTTTTAAGAAGAGGATGGACATCTATTAGTCTGAAACAGTATAGGGTCTCCTGCTTGAACAGGGGGTTGGACTAGCAGACCTCCAAGGTCCCTTCCAACTCTGTTATTCTGGTTGAAATTCAATGCAATTTTCTAAGATGAAAATAAAAATACCTTTCCCTCTTACAGTAGAATAACGGGGTATATTCTGGCAGGCTGAATGTTTGTTGGCAGTGCTGGCTTTTAAAAGTCCATTGCTAAAGTTAAAAGGTTATGGGTTGAAAAGTCTACGGCCACAGAAAGAGTTTGCTCAACATTTTCATGGTCCCCCTCCTGCTTTTCCTCCCCTTCTCCTGTATAAAATATGATTTTGATTGGTTGGTTTTTCTTTTAGGTTAGGGACATCTTCAGTAGTAGGTCAGGTCACACTGCTTCCTACAATTCTTTTCGGGGCATTCAGGACATCAGTGATCTAGAAGGACATACAAGTGATCCAGAATGCAGTGTCCATCCAAAAAAAAAAAAAAACAGAACACGATGTTCTTCATTTACAGACCAAACCCTACTCGTCTGCTCTTTGTCCTGATGAGAAATAGCTGGTTTAAAAATTGAACCAAAGTTCTTTGAGATCGTTTAAGTAATAGGCAGTGAGCTGCTGCACTCTGTTGATTCAATAAATGAACAAACTACAGATGGTTTGACGTAAGGGGGATTTTAAAAATGATGAAATAATACATAAATAAGAAAATTTCATGGAAATTTGATGATGAATGCCTAGTGATGCCAAATGTGGATGAATACTTGAGTCAAATTCCTTAGCACAAGTTTCAAGTCACATGTTTTGTGTGATAAGAGTCATGATCTATGCTTCTTCATTTCAGTTTCACTGCAGATTCTTGCAGATGTTGCTGTTCAGAATTTCTTGTTCTGAAGACATGGCAAACATGTTGAACCATCTTCAAAACAACTGCCGTTTGTTAATGATGCCCACTTAAGGGACAGTTGGTGGACATAACTGGATCACTATGGACCAATGGACTGTTCATTCCTAGCTAAGCCACCACGCTGCAATTTTGCTTCACTCTGTCAGCTGAATGCACTAATTATGAAAAATATTGGTCCCTAATAGACCATTTTTCAGGAGCCAAAATCAAAACATTATGGAGCCTGTTCAATGATAATATGCATGCCTCTCTAAAATGTTTTGATTAAATTAACATTTTAAAAGCCACAATATAATGCTTTAGAAATTCCTGTCATATAAACTTAATGGAAGCTAAAGCTTCAATGCTGAGACCCCAAAGTAACAGTCATTGGGTATGTGAACCTGTGTCTGATGCCATGAAGCATGGGGTCTTCGGTGCAAACTCAATTCCCCCCCATCACCTCTCTTTCAAATTGATTTTTCCTGGGAGAAAAATGTATTATGGTAGGGCTCTTAAGCGGTTTCATTTTGGGGGGGGGGGGGGGAAATGGGGGGGGGGGCTCTCCATAGAAGGAGAGATAAAGATATTGTGGAACTTACAAATGCTTAAGAAAGCTGCAGCGGTTATTAATACGGGCAAAGTACTAACCCTCACATCAAATTGGTTAAAATAGTCACGTTAGGATACAGGTAGACCTCGACTTACAACAGTTCATTTTGCGATAGTTCAAAGTTACAACGGCACTGAAAAAAAGTGACTTACGACCTTTCCCCCCCACCCTTACCACCATCGCTAATGGTCACGTGATCAAAATTCAGACGCTTGGCAACTAGTTCATATTTATGACAGTTGCAGGGATCATGTGAACACGTGACCTGGCAAATAAAGTCAGTGGGGAAGCCAGTTTCATTTAACAACCGGGCTTCTCACTTAACAGCTTGAAGTGATTCGCTTAACAACTGTGGCAAGGAAGGTCTCAATCTGGGACAAACCATACATGTCTGATTTAGCAACAGAAATTTTGGGTTCAGTTGTTGTAAGTTGAGGATTGCCTGTAGCTTCTACCTTGCCTTGAAGGCAGGATGTTGGAGACGTGACATTTGTGTCTGATCTAAACAGGGTTACTATTTTCTTTCTTTCAGTGGTTTATGAGCCTCCTCCTCCAAATGCGTCTCTGCTCCATGTTGTGGTTTATTCCTTGTTTCCCATGACTGCTCTCTCCATTGCCATCCTGCTGGCTTTTTGGATGTACCGTCACCGCAAGCCTCCATATGGGCACGTCGATATCAGCGAGGTATGTAAAATGGGGATTGGTTTCTGGTAAAGTAGTAATCTGTTCAAGGAACTCAGCATTGTCCTTCATTCCAGTGGTGAAAAATAAACCAAATTTAAACCTGAGCGTAGTGGGCAATGGCTCAGCGGTTACAAGTGCTGAGCTTGGAGAGCTGAGAGCTGAGAGTTTGAAATCTAAGTTCCACACAACAGAGTGACCTACCGTCCCTTGCTCCAACTCCTGCCCATCTAGCAGTTCTGAAGCATGCAAACGCAAGTAGATAAATAGGTACCACTTTGGTAGGAAGATAGCAGCATTCCAGGCACCTTTGGCGTATAACCATGTTGGCCACATGACCATGTAAATTGTCTTTGGACAACGCTGGCTCCTTCGGCCAAGAAACAAAGATGGTCACTATGCCCTAGAGTTGGACATGACTGGACAGGGAAATTTAATTTTGTTGTACGAGGTGCAGTGACAATAAAGTAAACTAAATCAAACCTTTACCTTTTTGTGTAGACCACCACTGCATAGACTTGTTTAAAAACTTCTCTGTTGAGAAAAGATAAGATATTCTATAGACATCCTCTCAATTTGTGTTGGTCATTGGCACCTGCCAGCTCCATAACAACTCCTGTGAGAAATTCCTCCGTACCCTGACAATATTTCAATTTTATCTGATTCCTATCACCCCCCTACCTTTCTCTCCTAGGACCCTAGTCCCCCACCTCCTTCTCCAATGATTGGACTGAAGCCACTACAGTTGTTAGAGGTCAAAGCCAGGGGTCGTTTTGGCTGTGTCTGGAAAGCACAATTGATGACTGAGTTTGTGGCAGTGAAAATCTTCCCCGTACAGGTGAGGAATGGAATTACTTCCCAATAACACCTGGAGCAAGGTAAAAATGTTTTTACAGAACTCCAGGTTAGCAATTTTATCGAGAGCTTTGTGTTTTAAGTCTTCGAGGTAAGTAAAGTCTGTAGCAGTGTTTCTCAAACTTGACCACTTGAAGTTGGTAGACTTCAACTCCCAGAATTCCCCCGCCAGCCATACTGGTTGGGGAATTCTGGGAGTTGAAGTCTGCATGGTTTAAATGTTGCCAAGACTGAGAAAAACCTTATTAGGTAGAAAAAACACAAACTTGAATGCTTGGTGGCTTCTCTCTGCCTTATCTTATATCAAACAAATCAAGGGTTATTTTCACACTTCCCCAGGACTGAGTTACCGTTTCTCCCCCCATAAAGGTTCATTGATCTTGTCCCTATTTTGAGCAGCGACATCTCCCTTGTTTCATAGATTGCAACCCAGTCACATGATTCAAGACATAGCCAAATGGCTTGCGGGTCCGTTTTGGATTTCACACTAAGCCATTATTTATTCTGTAAGTGTGCAGGCAGCCTCTGTTCTATGCACAAGTGAATGGCAATAAGTTCCCAGCTCCGTGAATCTGCAAGCATTTTATATATTGCTGTTTTATGTTATTTATCTTGGCAGCTTCTTCAGGCATGACAGCGGGGATAAAATATTTCAAATCACACTTCAAGGCACGTTGATTCCAAAGTCTTGGAACCATATCCTAAAGCCTTTTCACGAATTGCCAAAGGATTGTAATTTGTAATGCAAGAAGAGGAAAATAGTTAAATCTATGGCTTGTCATTGCATTTAATGTCAAAAAGATTGCCCATCCTTGCTAGAATTAAGCATAAATAATGCACTTGGCAAAGGCCTGGGACTCCATTATGTTCAGATTGAGAGGAATCATTAAAAAAATTTATTCTTCTTTCCTGGGTCATCTAAGAAAACAAATTTTACAGTATGAGGTAACAGATTTTTGGATAGCTTAAGCTGTGAGACATTCATCACACAGACTTAAACAATGTCGAACATGTAAAATGGGGAAGTATCTTTGGAATAATTTATTACAGGAAGCCCTCCTCACTCTACAACAATTCATTTAGTGACTGTTCAAAGTTACAAAGTCACTGAATAAAATGACTTATGACCACAGTTTTCATAGTTACAACTTTTGCAGCATCCTCATGGTCACATGATGGCAACTGGAATATACTTATGACAGTTGCAGCATTCCGGGGGTCGTGTGATCACCTTTTGTGACCTTTCGACAAAGTCAATGGGGAGGCCACTTAACCCCCTGGGTTACTAACTAAACAACTGCAGTGATTCATTTAACAACTATGGCCAAGAGAGATCATAAAACGGGGCAAAACTCACTTAACAACTGTCTTGCTTAGCGATGGAAATTCTGGGCTCATTTGTGGTTGTAAGCTGAGGACTATTTGTATCGTTTCATAGACTTCTTTTCTGGTTTCTGGTTTTTTTTATTTAAATCCACCATCTCCTGTACAGATAAATCAGAAAACGGAATGTGAAGGAGGAAGCAGATAGCTGCTCCTTCATTAGGGGTATTTCAGTGGGGGAGACATGACGAGCAATCAACCGGATATAACCTCTGCTCCTGAAGGTTTGAAGGACTTCCTAGCTTAGCTGCTTTTTCCAACTGACAATGGAAAGTTTGAGCCAAGGCGGTAGCTAGGAGAAACACAAAGCATAAGAGGAAACACACACACACACACACACACACACACACACACACACACACACGTAAACTAAAAGCCTGTGAGAGTTTATCAGGTTCCTGTGCCTTTTCTCCCGATTTTCTAAATTTAAAATAAATTCAGGAAATGCAGAAGGTGGCAAAGTTGCAAAGTTGATTGTGTTACCTGGCCTAGGTAGCAGTCTGAACGGTGAACCAATCATCCGCAGGGCAATCAGCAGCTTCATCTGTCCACCATACTTGTTTCTGAGCAAAGTTGAGCATGTTTACAATTGGAAGGATGCAGGTTTTTTTTCCTCCCCTACACCGCCCCCCCCACCCCAATGTTTGCTGATTCCATCTCTATCCGCATTTGCAAATTACGAAAAGGTCAGAGTTCTGCCAAATAAGAAAGGGAGGAAATGCAAAGATGGTCAAATTACCAGGACTATATATATTTTTTTGATTGATGGAGATAAAAAAGAAGCATTCAGGGGGCTATAACACCACAAATTGTCTAGGGATGTCATTTGTTCTCCGAACAGATTTCGTCTTGTTTCTCCACATTTTTAACCTTCTGCCATCTCTCTAGGACAAACAATCTTGGCAAAGTGAGAAGGATATCTTCAACACCCCGGGAATGAAGCATGAAAACCTTTTGCAGTTTATTGCAGCTGAGAAGAGGGGAGCAAACTTGGAGACGGAGCTGTGGCTGATCACAGCTTTCCATGATAAGGTAACAAGGACTGGTTAGGTTGATGCTTTGTTGATGGCAGAAAGACCAAGAACGCATCTCCTCGTGGAGAGCATTTTACAGATATCTATCTATCTATCTGTCTGTACAGGTAGTCTTTGACTTATGGCTGGTCACTTAATGACCGTTTGAAGTTCCAGAATACTTACTTGAGGGGAGGGGGTATTTACAATTTGAATTAAAAAATTCTGACAGCCCCTGGCGGTCACACAACCATTGCTCAGCAACTGGGTCACATTAATATTGCAATCATATGACTGCATTTTATGGTGTGTTTTTTTGTGAAAAACCAGCATTTACTTTCAGTTTTTGGCAAAAACCTCTCATCGTGAACCATTGGTTCCCTTAGTGGCTGCAGAGTGATTTCACTTCACTTCCAAAAAGGTCAGTCATGGGGCTTTAAGGAGTTATGACCATGATAGGCAGGGTCTATTATGGCCATAACATCTACAATGACCGGGCCCACCTGTAAGTTGGCTCAGTCATTGTAGATGCATTGCTGTAAACACACGTTGAGCATTAATTTTCAATCCTGTTTATTCTATTGGAGGATATTTAAGTTTGTGTTTAATTCTCTCCTGCAGATGAATGTCACTGGCACAGAACCAATTTAGAACTTCTCTAAGGAGAAATTTCCTGACAGTTAGAACAATTAATCAGTGGAACAGCTTGCCTCCAGAAGTTGTAAATGCTCCAACACTGGGGTGGGGTGTTTAAGACGAGAGTGGACATCCATTAGTCTGAAATGGTATACGGCCGTGATGGCGAACCATATGGCATGGCAGAGCCATTTGTGCCGGCACGCGAGCCATAGGCAAACTTACCTCCCTGCGCATGTGTGCGCCTCACAGCTGTAATACCGGAAGTGATAAAACGGGCCTATTCTGCCTGCAGAGGCCTTTTTCAAGCCTCTGGGAGGCCGAAAAAGGCCTCAAACCAGCTGAAAATCAGCTGTGAGGCGCAGTGCAGGTAAGGGGGGGGGGGGGCTGGGGGGGTTGCGGGGGGCTTTGCGGGGGGGGGGGGGGGGGGGGGCACACATTGCCTTCTGGGTGCTGGCGCAATTTGGCACAGGAGCCCAAAAAAGGGTTATAGGGCTGCTTAAACAGGGGGTTGGACTAGAAGACCTCCAAGGTGCCTTCCAACGCTCTGTTAATTCTGGGCACTCTTTGGCGTCTGTATTCTATGCAGAGTCATGCTTTTAAAACTGGCCCTTGGGCTGACTTCCAGAGAAGCATGCTTAAGATTCCTGCTTTCAAAATACTGGCTGGGCTCACAGTAAATGCCACACACACACACACACACACACACACTCTAGTGTAAAGACTCATGGATCCGATTTGAGAGGGTGTCAAAGAGTCACAGGCATCACCTAGGTTTGTTCCCCCCAGGGGTCCTTGACTGACTATCTGAAGGGGAACGTTCTCAACTGGAATGAGCTCTGCCACGTGGCGGAAACCATGGCCCGCGGACTCTCCTACCTTCACGAGGACATCCCTTGGTGCAAGGGGGAAGGGCACAAGCCTGCGATAGCCCACAGGTGGGTCTCAAATTTTTCGTCTACCCTAACGCTAAATCAGAGTTTGTCCTACGTACTTCTAGGTGTTGATGGAGCTCAAGGAGGGTGTGTATGGATCACTCCCTCTCCCAATCTAAGCAGTGCATATTCCTCCAAGGGAATTATGACCTTTTATGGGAACGGAAGGCTAGCCCGTTCCTTGGTTTTTTTCCTTTGAAGTAGTAGGCTAAACTGCTGCGTGTGTGTGTGTGTGTGTGTGTGTGTGTGTGTGTGTGTGTGTGTGTGATTGAGAGGGAACAAAATGGACTGGAGAAGAGCAATCCAATGGGACATCCTGAGCCCTCTGGGAGCTTCCATGCTAGTTGCACAGAGGGTTGTTTTAACCAATAAAAGGAATCTGCAGAAAAAAGGTTGCGAGCTAGAAATCGAAAACTATTACCGGGGTCTTTTTGACGCTGTGCTGCCCCCTAATGGCACTTAATTTCAGATACAATAAATCCACTTCAAACACACTCCAGCCCTCCTCCCTCCATCATTCATTGTGTTGGAACTACCGTTTTTCCTTCAGTAAAGACATTCTTCCTATCCCCTCATCTGGACAAAAATGAATGGGAGAGGACAGGTGGAGAGGGGAGGAGAAAGAAGGGAAGGGAAGGGGAGAGAAAAACTGGTGGCTCTGCCCACAACTCTTAAGGGCCACGAAACAGCTACTGGGACTCTCGGGGAATCCATAGAATATCCACCCTTGCCTTAACAGTCTTTTTCATCCGCTTGTAGAAATAATGTTAGTCTTTCCAATCCCTGCAAAAGGGAAAGGTGGTTTGTGAAACACCACAAGCCCAAAATATCTGCACCTTTTCTTTTCTTTTATTATCTGGAAAACAGACCTCTCATCGGCGGCTTAGGGGAACACACAAAGCTACGGCTTTACTGAATTCAAACGGGGGTCCGAATAATGAAAGGATTTAGTTGTTCTGAATTCTGCAGCCTAATCCCCTTTCTCTTTTAATAAATCTGGATAGGGAAGCCTCTGTGAGAATCTTGGTTTTGGGTGTACTTGGCTGTCAGAAGTTTGACTAATCTGGCGTAAGGTCTCTGCGATAGTTTCTCTGCCAACTTTAACAGCTTTAACATGTACCCAGTGCCTGGGAACTATCTTCCTTCTTTTCTTTCCCTCCTTGGAAAAACAAAACAAAACAAAATTGTGGGTCAGGAGGGGTGGGTTTTCCTTTGGGATACTGTACACGCTGGGAATTCATTGCGTTTCCCCTCCATCCTTTTGTGAGCTCTTTTTCTCCATGGTGGCATCTCTCTTCCTAACGTATTCTTACAGAGCATTTCGCGGGAGAGGGGGGTGGGGAAACACAATCTGCCCTCATTAATTATATTACTTGGCCCCACATTTGTCCTGTGATCCAACCGGCTGGGATACCACAGTCAATTAAACTGACAGCAAGAGAATTATAATGCCAGGCACACGTGGGTCCACCATCTGCTGCCTCCAGTCTGTAATTTAATTATATTCAACCCCTTTCTTTATTCCCCCCCCCCCCTGTTCTCCTCCACCCCTACCGAAGGAAACTCCAGGAGTCGCTTAATAAGCACAGGGGTTTAATTTAAGAGGCAGATAAGGAAGTAATGCAGCTGAGTGAAACTCCAGGTAGAGATCAAAATCCAAGGCAACATTCTAGAGCCAAGCCTGCTTTCTAGGAAAGAGCTGACAAAGGAATTAAGAGTACAGATAATAAGGGAAGGATGCCACTGCACATAACTTGTGTTAATGTTGGTCTGGATAATGTCCTCACTGATTTCTTCTTCCTTTGTGGTCTTTCTCATAAATCGGGTTTGCATCCACCTGTTAATGGCATTGGTGGCAAAAATCTCACGTGGATGGCTTTATCTTGGATGTTGATAATGTGCTACATTAAATACCTCCTCTTCTCTTCTCTTCTCCTCTCCTCTTCCCTTTTCTCCCCTCTCCTCTCTTCTCTTTTTCTCTCCTCTCATGTCCCCTCCCCTCCCCTCTTCTCCTCTCCTCTCCTCTCTTCTCTTCTTTTCCTTGCAGGGATTTCAAGAGCAAGAATGTGTTGCTGAAGAATGATTTGACTGCCGTGCTTGCTGACTTCGGACTGGCCGTACGCTTTGAACCCGGGAAGCCCCCAGGAGATACTCATGGACAGGTAAACCTGCAGGTTAGCTTATACTACTTCATTTCGCAAATCTAATTGGGAAGGCAGGTGAAGATAAGACAAATCTATGTTATTGTCACATAGTGCCTAGGTTCTATATTTTGAAAAACAAGTCACAATTTTTGTGTACACATAATAGTGTATAATTTATCCTTTCTCAGTGCCATTGTAACAGTCACTGAACGAGCGATCAGGAAGTGAGAACTACTTGTATTTTTTTTTTGGAAGTATCAGCAAGCAATTGATCTTGTCAAAATGATGAAGAATGCATTGGTAGATGGTTCAATGCCTGCCAATAGAAGATAATCTTTGTAGCTCAAGGTTGAATTGTGAGGTTCTTGCTACTCTCTGAGATTGGTTGTTTTCTTGCAGACATTTCATTACCCAACTAGGTAACGTCATCCATCCTACTAGCCAATGGGGTCATGAGTGGGGGAGTGGGGAAACCACAGGGAGGAGCTGCAGAGCACAGGTGGGCAGGGAGGTCTGTGCCACAGAGTATGAGATCCCTGGGAGAAAAAGCAGTGGAAACAACCTCTGATCTTTCCTGATGGCTTCCCCATTGACGGCTCATGGGAAGCCAGCGGGAGAGGTTGCAAAGGGCAATCATGTGACCATTGGCTCACTACAACCATCATAATTGCGAGCTGGACACCTGAGCACCCAGATCGTGATCCCATGATTGTGAGAATCCAGTGACAGCTGCAACTTCACAGACCAGTTGTAAGTATTCTCATTCAGCAACATCTTGGTGTGACAAATCGAGGACTACCTGTAGCCAAGGTAATATCAACAACAATTGCTATTACTTCTGCTTTTTTCCTCTCCTTTTCATTGTTCTCTCTCTCCCTCTCTCTCTCTCTCCCTCTCCCTCTCTCTGTCTCTCTCTCTCTCTCTCTCTCTCCCCCTCCCCCTCCCTCCCTCTCTCTCTCCCCCTCCCTCTCCTTCTCCCTTTTTTAAAGAACCAGAGTTTGAATGTATGAATTTAGTTCCAGTAACTGATTCCTGTGTCTATTATAGGTGGGAACAAGAAGATACATGGCTCCTGAGGTCCTGGAAGGAGCAATTAATTTCCAGAGAGATTCCTTCCTGAGAATTGATATGTATGCCATGGGCTTGGTCTTGTGGGAGTTGGCTTCCAGATGCACAGCAACTGATGGTGAGTTCCAATATCATTTTTACATACTGTTCTTGCTTCCTTAGAAATTATGAAAACTGTTTGTCCAACCCACTTGGAGTTAGTTTAATTCAGAATATCTATGTGGACCTTTTTCCTAGAAGAAAGATACTCTAGGTCAGAGGTCTCCAACCTTGGCAACTTTAAGACTTGTGGACTTCAACTCCCAGAATTCTCCAGCCA